CTCAAAGTAGAGTCTTGTTTAATTAAGGCTGGAGGGGGCAAACCTACTCATTCTATACAGTGAGGTAGCTGTTCCTTTCTTCTCTTATCTATCTTATCCCTGTATCTATCCATGCATGATCTTAAAAAGGAGAGGAAAAAGAGGCCTATGTCTCTCATAGAACTGAAATTTGTGTGAGGTGAAACAACCAAGCCTTTGAAAGTAGCTGGCAAAGGTATTCTTGCAGAAGCAAGGTTATGTACGAAGCAACGTAACAACAACATTTCAGTCACCCTTGCATGAAAATCAGACACGGGAATTATGTGCTTGATTAGATTAAAAAGGTACCATTTCAGATTACAAGTAGTACATTACCCAAGTAAGCCAAGTACTAAAATGCCAGCACATATTGTCACTAAACTACATGTTCTCATGCCCTGAGGCTTTTTATGCACCATATGAGGAAATCAATGCTCAAAAACAAATCCATTAAATGAGAACTGGAGCACAAAAATGCTCCAATACAGAAAGCCTCAAGTAACTCAAACATTGTAAATCCATTACATATTCAGTACAGCACAACTCAGACAGTGATTACAGGAATACATGCTGTAGTGCCCTTTGTCCATTATTTATCATTTCAGACCCAGTTGCTATGGCCAAACTCAATCTCTATCACAAAATAATGTTTCTTATATTTGTAATCAAAGTAATCCCAGAAGTTGTGCAGTGGTTACAGAGTTGCTTAGAGGATCCTGTCCTGTGCTTTGAAATAAATGGAGGTCTTTCCAGAATAATATGCACATAACTGTACTATACCTGACACAAAGATGAACATCTGAAAATTTCACCTCCTAAAAATGGCATCAGTGCCATGAACAGCATTTCTGTGACTGACTCACGCAGTTAGCAGTTGGTATGAGTTTGTCAGGTCTGTTTTCTCCAACTCTTGTTATGCAAATTTTCCTGATATTTTTTCTGTTGCTGATCTCTCTGAAATGCTTTGGAAGGATCACAGAAAAGGGAAAAAGAATGAGGTAGTCATAACTGCATTACAAGATTAGTGGAATGGCATCAAGCTAGCATCAGTAATGCTGCTACTTTCTTTAGAGAGTGACAAGTAGTGATAAGGTGACAGGGTCTGAGGGTGTGCTGTCAGAAACAGACCTGCAGTCATTCAGATATGAGCTTTCAGACAGAAACTAGATGATGCTAGTGAAAATTTTCACTAATTTATCCTAACTTCACTAATAATTATTTTGTTTGCTGGTATTAGCATTTTCAACTTTTTTTGACAAAGTGATTCTTAAAAAAAAAAAAAATTTAAAAAATACTTGTTAGCTTTCTGTCATCTTCTTTTTAAAATACCACTTTCTTTAATTTTACTCACTCTCCTGGTTTCAGTTGGGACAGAGTTAACTTTTTTCATAGTAGCTGGTAAGAGGCTGTGTTTTGGATTTGTGCTCAGAAGGCTGATAACACACTGATGTTTATAGTTGTAGCCAGGACAGTCAAGAACTTTTCAGCTTCTCTGCTGTGCCAGTGTCTCAGGTGCAGGAGAAGCTGGGAGGGAGCACAGCCCCAGTTACTAGCCTAGGATTTGACCTTAGGTTTAGGATTGAGACCCAGATTGGTCAATGGTATATTCCACATCATGCACATCATGCCCAGTATAGAGATGAGGCTCGGTCCAGAAATGTTCTCCATCTCTGGATCAGCTCTCTGTCTTGGATGCTTAGGCTCTTATCTCTGTTCTGGTAGTGCAGTTTCAGGACTCTCCCTGCTCTGTAATTGTTATCCGGGAACAGGCTGAGCCTTGCGCATCAGGTGGTGAGCAGTTTCACTGTGTATCACTCATTTGTGTATTCGTATATATTGCTATTATTATAATAATTATTTCCATTATTAGTTTTGTTGTAGTTTAGCTATTAAATTTTTATTATCTCAACCCATGAGTCTCTTTTCCCTTTACTCCTTTAATTCTCTCCCCCATCCCCAGGAGGGAGAGAGTGAGCGAGTGGCTGTGGTGTTTTGCTGCTAGCCATGGTTGAAACCATAACACTCACTTGTCCAACAATTTCACTTTGCATATTAAATTGTTCTGCATCCTGTAAGTACATACTGCTTTACTCCCTTAGCACATTTAGGTGCTAATATGGCAGTAGATAGACTTTCATTGCTAGACCACAGCTATCTAGCGAGTGAGAACAGGCTCTGAGAAATTAGCACTGTGCTCACTAGCATCAGTAATTATGAAGACCATAAAACTGGTACACAAGACCATAACACTGGTACACAATACAGTAACAGATTTAAAGGTTGCCACAGAACAATACTGAAAGATAGTTCTTCAGTGTTCAAGGTCTAGTGCTAGAAGTCATAACTAAAATATTGATTTAAATCTACTGGTTACCTTTTTGTAAGATAAGCTTTAAAAATGCCTTTGGAGATTTTTTTGTTGTTGTTGTTCATAGTCGAGATTAGATTGTTGTTCAACTATTTAAAGATTAGCTAAATGCTTGTTATCAGAAAGTACAATTTAGAGGTGCCCTTTAAAATCTGTTTAATAAATGGGAACTTATGCCTTCATTATAGTTTTGAATTAGGTTTCAGAGTAAGGTTACTACAGATGTCTTTATTTTGGATTTGTGTCCTGCTCCATGTTGGATACATTAGCTGACATGCATTCAATTTACTGCAATATTTTGTTCAGCTGTCAGTTTATCCTGAGTTATGGTAATAAAGTGTTCAAGAAAGAACAGTTTCTTTTCTCTTTATCCACACAGATGCTGAGAAGTGATCAACTATTTGTATTACGTAACCACTGCTTCTGTAGAAGATACTGTAGAAAACTCTAATTCATTAACATTATAAAGTAATATTTTTGTGAAATAGAATGATTGCTATGTCATTGACTGCAACATCAGTTGTTGCTGAAAGTTTTTGGATAGGTACGATTCTTCAGCTCAGGAAGGGTATTATGCAGAAGCTAACAGGAATTTTATACGTTACATATGAATACTGCAGTTTTTCCCCTAACACTTTTAAGTAACAAAGGTCCCAGTCAATTCTGCAAGGTAATAAAAGCTGTTGTGAGCTGCTGTGTGCTCTCAGCTTGGACTGTCTTCTCTGATGTCCAGAGTGTTTGTCATTTTGCAGCAGCAAGTGGTTCTATTTCATTTAATGTAAGTGTACTGCAATGTCTGCAAAACCATAGGGATTAGCTGTTGTACAAGAAAAGAGACCCAATGCTTTTCATCAGGGCACGAGGTAAGAAGAGAATCACTGCCAAACTGTGCTGCAGCCAGTTTACAGGAAGAAAGATGTTACCTGTTTATAATTCTGTAAGAAAAGAAACACAACTCTTGACTTTGTCATTTCTGTATTTCCAGTAACAAAGAATACACGAAGAGTAACACAAAGAGAAGTGACCTTGGTTAATGAAGAGCAGTTTCTGCACTCCTGATTTAAGAAGGAGGAATTTGCTGAGCCTAACAGACAAAGAGTAATAGTCAACTGAACATATTCTAAGAAGTGTCAGGATCTTTGAACCATAGAAAGGATTGATTGACATGGCAAAAATTACGTGAAACATTCCACACTCTGCTGTCATCTGCTGTTGCTTGCTGAACTGTGAAGAACTGTGTATTCAGGCTGCTTTCTGATATATTGCCAATCACCTTTTTTGGACTTGAAAGTGATATTTTCTTATCAGCTCTCTAGTGGTTTCATTTGCATGCATTCTGTAACTATGCACAAGCAAAATCTGTTATCTGCTTTACCTATTCAAAAATAAGCACAGTGGTGAATAAAATTAATTTAATTTGTTTTGACACTTCAGCTCGAATCACTTAGGTCCACGTCAGTAGAAACTGGAACTGGTGTCATACAGGAGTTAAGGTAAACCTCTGCACATACTGTATGAAAATAAGCCTGTAAAGATAATTCCACTGTTGGTGAAAAGGAAGAAAAAGTTATTTATAACAAGGCCTTATGTTGTGTACATATATTGTCTTTGAAATATTTTTGATCTTAGTTTATTTCTTGTAAAAGAGAAATTATATAATTTATTTAGTAAATACTAGTGTAAACTATAGTTTTATTGATGAATAAAATATTTTGTTCTCAAGACTGTCACAGCTGTCAACCTGCTCTTGATCTGTACAGGACCTACTGTTCTGGTATTTCACGAGATGGTCTTGAGAGGCATCTCAAGAGACAGGATAACGACTCTATAACATGGCATCTCTCTTCATCTTCTACCAGCTCTACAATGAAGAGGGGAATCTTGAAATTAGAGCAGAAGAGGCAAAGGAATGTATTCAACAGGCATTGCTTCATAAAAGCATTTAAAGTTTTTGGGCAATCATTTTAAGAGAACTATAGAAACTGTTCTGGTTTCCTTTATTTTCCTAGCAGCAGAGAGATAATCCCAGACACCAGTGACCATCAATCCAAGATTCCATGCTTCGATGCAGTGGTGTATTTAAAAACTACACAGCTGTCACTTCGAAAGTTTATGGAAGTTATTGGTAATAACATTTCTTTTAGGAGTAAGTGTTGCAAACCTACTGGATTGGCAAAACTAGAATTTGGCACTTTAATTCCTAGAATTATGCTTTGTACCTCTGAAGAATTTTTCATTAAGGTCTTGGTGTGTTGTGGGTTTTTTTAACTTTGATGTAATCCTATAACCCTGACAAGGAAGAGAGTATTATTCCTGAATTATGCAGAGAATAGAAAAATGGAAAAGTGGTTTTGTTTTTTTTTTCCTCTAAGTGTGTAGAGTCTCTGGCTTAATTTAGAGCCTGTGTCTTATGCTTACCTGTTTTCCAGGCTTTAAAATTAGATTGCTTAATCTCTGCAACATAATTTGTTTACAGCATTCCTCTTAGAATTGCAAGAGACCAATCTGCATGCCCTGTGAGCAAAAACATTTGTACATCTATGTGAAGTCTCTGCTCCTTCTTAATGCTCAGTTTATAGCATATTTAGAATGTGTCTCTATGCAAAGTAGATATTTCTGATCAGTATTATTTGGGGAAAAACATGACACTTTTTAGTTTAAGCACCAGATTAACCTTCATAAAATACACGTGTCACTTTTTTCCCAATTATATAGCAGACTATAGTGTCTGAATCATTTGTCCTTAGGAGGACTCCAGAGGACACACAACTTAACTGCAACAATTCTGTCCAAAACTAAAATGTCTGTACTAAACAATTCAGTTATTGATAAATTAAATCAGTCATTGAATACTTCCAAAAGGGAATCCTGTATAGGCTGTGGAGTTTACTGGGAAAACCTTCTCCAAAGCATGTGCACTTACAAGTTTCTTTTTTTTTTTTTTTTGGTGACTACGTGGTTCCACTGAGAGGGAAGAGGGATTACAACCGGCAATGCTAATGATTAACAACTTGGAACCCATTTCTTCCTCTACCACAAGAAATGGTATAAAGCTTCAAACACTGTAGAGTACAGGAGCTTGTAAGGATGTGTATGTTTTATGCCTAAGCATTTCATTTCTCTTCATCTTGCGTTGGTATTTTGCATTGGTAGTACTTTGATAAAAATGCAATTATTATTAAACATATCTGTAAAGCTGATGAGGTAGTGCACATCAAGTAAAAATCAAATATATACAGGAGGCATAATCAGCTCCACAGGGAATTAATGTATTGGTCTATTTCTCCAGGTCTAAACAGATGGAACTCACCACAGGGAGCAAAATTTGAAGAATTAGGTCATAGACGTGGGCTGTGTGCAGTGGTATCTTAATACTCTGACCCTGTAAGCTGCCCAGAAGGAAAAAGAACAGGTTGATGCCTGCTTAGAGAAAGGTAGGGAGTAACTCCAAATTTGTGTATCTGACCCTGTGACCTAATCATATGGCCTTTAGAAAGTGAATTTTGCCTTTGGTGGTACCATGTAATAGTTGTCTTCCATTTAAATACAAACAAACAAAAAAAAACAACTTCATGTCCTTCTAATAGAATTCAGTGGTTTGAAAAGACATCTGTCCCAAGACCTGTTTTCTTGTTGACTTTGCTTACACTTGAGCCAATTTAATTTCATGTAACTCAGTGCCATTTTCCCAAACCCTGAACACTAGACAGTGACAAAAGAGTAGTCAGTAGCACACTCCACCTGCTCTTTGTAGAAGCCACCTGATGACCCATTTCAGGGGTGCATGCATTTGCTTGCAACAAGAAAGATATCAGCTCTTCCCAGGCTTGAAGGCGTGGGGCCTGACCCTGCAGCTGGACCTGCAGCTGGAACTGCTTTGCCGCTATTTTACACCAGCCTAAAAAGATATTGACACCAAAGTGCTGTGGTATGAACAACATTAACCTAAGGGACAAGGATCAAGATGAAAAAAATTAAGAAATCATTGTTAAAATTGCTAATCCCTAACTCAGGCCCTTTTTGAAGTTGTGTGAATGATCCTCACTGGTAGTAGCATCCTGTAAAGTTCATTAACTTGAACACTGTTGACAAGTTTTTAAAAATATTTGGTGAGATTGCTAGTACCAATAAAAATATTTCATCTACACTAATTCATTGATTTATCATTAACTTGGAGACGAGACGAACATTTCCTTTTGTGAGCTGCATATGACCTTGGATGATTAGAGAGAAACCACTGTGGAACTCCCTGGACAATACCAGAAAATAGCTTCTGACGCTCTTTTTACAGGAA